AGGCCAGGGCTTGGAGCACCCTGGGACAGTGAAATATGTCCCTGCCATGCCAGGGCATGGAATTGAAACTCTTTAATTCTCTTCCAACCGAAATAATTCCGTGCTTTGATGACAGAAGTTGGAATCCACAAGTCCTTATGCAAATAATTCTTTCCCTCTGGTTAATTTTATCCATGGGCTTCCACAAATCTGGAACTGGAGGCTGCTCTTGCACTGATGGGTTCTGCACAATTTGAATATTTTTCTGTGCTTGTGTCAACATCAGAATGAACTTTGTGAACTTTTGTGCACCTGTGTTGCACAAGTCCTTGGAAGGGTGAAATTCTTCCTGCCCTGAGTGCTGTGCACCTCAAAAAGACAAATCACTGAGAAAGACAAAAATAATGATTAATAGCCAGCAAGACACCCAAAAATGTTTTATTTCCTTTCCTCTTCCCTGTGAGAGCCAGAATAATTTTATTGTGCTTATTTGTGAGGTGAGTGCTGTGAACAGTGAAGGGCAGTGTTTCATGTTGGGGGTTGGATTTGAGCAGCTGCCATGTGTTGTGTGGAATCTCCTGGCTCTGTTTTTATGGAGTTTTCTCCGTTTGGAGGGGAATTTGGGATGGGAAGGAGCTGAGGTTTCTCTGTTGTTATTTGCAGCTGTCTGACAGCGTCATCGATCGGATGAAGGAGCCCTCAGGCAGTGGCAGACAGCACCGAGGGGCAGGTGAGCTCTGCTCCTCCTTCTCTGCTTTTCATGGCAAAAAACAAACCAGATTTGCCTTTCAGAGCATCACAATGAACCCACTGCCCTTTCACAAAGATGGTGTTTAGGACATTAACTTTTCAGCTCATCTTTAGCTTGTTGATTATTAGAGGAGTTAATTCCTGTTGGTTTTTTTTCAAGTGTAAAACACAAATTCGAGTTGGTTTTCCACACTGTTGTCCATTGTTAAAGACTTTAAAAACTCAAAACACCTCAGAACATGCAAATATCCAGATATGCCTTAAAGGGAAGGGGAATTTTCACTTCTTTTCTGAAGGGCAAATTCTTGGTCCTTTAATCAAAACTGACTTTTAGAT